CTAGTTTATTTAATGCGTTTTTCTTGGTGCACGACTCTGAAAATCCGAAATTTGGATCGTTGAATTCCCGTGCACGATCATAATATACTGAATCTGAACTGATATAAAGGAGCCAAAGACAATTTCAAGGTAAAAGGTTATTTATTAAAACTACGTTGTGCAGTTTAAATTATAACTACTTTATGAGAAGCATATTGGTGTCATATCAATATAAAATTTGTCGAACAACAGTCCGTGAAAACTGTCTGTAGTGTACTCAGTGCGAAACATATATTGTATTTGTAATGCCTCTTATAAATGGCGCAATAAGGATAAACATACCACCGTTCGATTCAGCGTAAGAAATTGTACTTATGGATGTCAAATGTATTACTAAACAGCAATATTCTGGCGATTTTATTATATGGCCTTAGAAAATCAAGCGAAATTGTAATTTGTTGACATCAAATCACTCGCAGTACGTTTGTCCTTGACCTTGTATTTGTATTGCCTAATTAATGGCGCAATAAAAATAAAAATACCACCGTTCGATTCAGCGTAAGAAATTGTACTTACGGATGAGAAATTGTACCTACGGATGTCAAATGTATTACTAAACAACTGACAACAGTATTCTAGCGATTTATGGCCTCTGACTTTGTCTTTGAAAGCCAAGCGAAATTGTATTATTTGTTGACAAATCGCTCAAATTATAAGAGATGCAGTACGTTTGATCCTTGATAACTTTGGTATAATTGGTTTTCTCTTTTTCGGCCGTACACCAGTGGATTCGTCTCACTTCTCTCTTCATTTTGATAATATTTTGAGCCCAAAAGCCCCAAAATATTTTATTTTGAACATTTTAAACTGGCGGCCGACAGAAGAATGTGGCGTACTATAAAATATAACTTTACTAGTGGGCATAAACGCCGGAAGTTTCCCCTTAGCTCGGGGCCAGGCTTAATTTCCACACCAGGCTTAAAATACGCACGTAAAACTTTAAATTTGTAAAATAACCAAATAAATAAAGCAACAGAATTTACAGCTCCGCAAGTTTTAGTATGAATTTGTTAACTTATCAAAGTTTTACGTGCGTGTACGTGCGTACGAAAAACGCAACAGTGCCAGTGGAGATCAGCCTTTAGATCTTAACAGTAATGTGCGTCAGTTGTGTATCCCCAGCGAGTTAACGCTCCACAGAGCGTCTTGTTTATCAATATAATTAGGACTTAGAAGCTGTTCACATGAGTTTGACTCTGACCCAGCACCCTTGGCTAGCTCCCCTTGCCCAATCCCAAGTAGAAAACCTCCAACCCCCTCTGACAAATCAGTCCAGATCTGCCCAAGAGGCAGGAATTTCTGGAATATTATTAGCAGTGAAATTGTTGCATATTTTCAAGCATGCATTGTAACCTGATTTTAAAGCCTGTTTGAACATCAGACATTGTGGTAATGGCATGATGGTCCAGCCATATGAATACAATCTTAAAATATCATAAAAACAATGCAATTTAAGGCCAGACAGCCCAACTCCTGTGAACAGCCCTTTATTACACATTCGAAGCATCTCTTGAGACATCAAAGTACTGTACATGCAGGCACATGGAATTACATACGAGTATGTGATATAAGCCCACCATATGTTGCACAACTTTTTCTGCAACAATGCAAATACAACAAATGCAAATACAATCAAGCTGGAAA